AAATATTAATTTTAATTAATTCAAAGTACATTAAAATATGAAAATAATCACACAATATGTATTTATATTTTAGAAAATACAAGGGAACCTGTGCTTCCACAATATCCATGGATGGCATACCACTGGCTGTAGAGCATACCTATAGGAGCAAAAAATTCAAAAAAACCATATCTCTACAAGCAACCCTTTGCAAGACACAACTCCCAAAATCAACTTGAGTGAGATTGCAAGTTATGTCACTCCACTAAGACTATTCCGTTTAACTATTTAGCCCATACTGCTATGCAGGTTCGAGTAGCCCACTTGTTTGTAGAGTACTTTATATTATATAGTTTTAGCGGGGGTTTGGAGACTCGCCCCACCTGGGTGCCAAAGTGCAAGCAATAGCAAGCACCAAAGCACACAACTACATGTGGAGCATCTGTCAAGGCAGGCAATAGCAAGCATGGACAATAGGCAGTATACTAACACATGGTAAAAACTGACCTTTGAAGACAAATATATTGCAAAGGGTCTCATATACAGCTATGGTTCCTTTTTTGCTCGTAATTCTCGGTGGGTGGGAAACCCCTCATTCAGAGTTCACATATTACCGAAAGACTCTATATATCAAGAGCTAAACGCTATTTAAATACTGATAACAAAACAAATCGCAATCAAATAACTGTTTTGTGTTATTATCATAATATTTCATTTTATTTTTACCATAATCAGAGTAAAATTCGTCCACTTTTTCTCTCGGTGACCTTCGAACGGAAAATAGAAACTTTCCATTTTATTTGCGAAAGGCTTTTGATGTTGAAGTTCGATATGTTTACAACTTGCAAATTTCGTACCAATATTTATACAAGTGTTGCCAGCTTTCTTTCAATAATAAATATCAAACTTTTCATTTAAATATAAAATGAAATTCATATAATATTATTGTTGTTGATAAAACAATGTAAAATAGTTAAAAGATTTTTCAATTTCATTCCCTCCTTTTTAAGTCCTGCTAGAAATAACGCTTCTTTCATGCCATCATGAGCTTGGTTTATGTTGGTCAGACATCCTATTTTGGGCCGGACAGTCCGGCTTTTGAAAATTTTGAACGCTTTTATCTGGNATTAATCTTTTAAAATTATTTCTATTTAAAAAAATATAAATATAAAGCTAAATATAAATGTACAGTATACATATAACTACACTATAAATCAATTTCAAGAAGGAAATTTGTGAAATAATTTTTATATATATCTACTATTACATCAACAATAAATAAAATACTTTCTTACTGGAACTAAAATCAATATAAATAAAAACAAAATCTTTAAACATTCCAGCAAATCATTTTTAATATCTTAAAAACGTTTTCGAACGCTTTAAGAGATCATCCTCAGTTATCATTCTGAATCAAATGAAGAATTTGAAATTATGTAAAATAAAATTCAAAAAGCGGTTACACAAATTTACATTGACATGTAACAAGCTTAAATAATCGCAAAGACTATACAAATTAATTAAAATGAAATAAAGAAATAAAAAAATATGTACAACCAGTAAAAATTATCATAATTAACTTTGCCGCTTATATAAACTACATCAACTCATTGTAGAAGGATTTCCACGTCGATGATAATCCATTGGCATCCCTATGATTGATACAGTTTGTGTGCAACTGCGCCTTGTGAATTTCTAATTTTTCTAGATGTTTCACGGCTTGCTTGGATCTTGGATCAGGCATCAATCATCAAGGTTACAAGATTCAAGCAAGCCATAAAACATCTAGAAAAATTAGAAATTCACAAGGCACAGTTGCACACAAACTGTATCAATCATAGGGATGCCAATGGATTATCATCGATGTGGAAATCCTTCTACAATGAGTTGATATAGTTTATATAAGCGGCAAAGTTAATTATGATAATTTTTACTGGTTGTACATATTTTTTTATTTCTTTATTTCATTTTAATTAATTTGTATAGTCTTTGCGATTATTTAAGCTTGTTACATGTCAATGTAAATTTGTGTAACCGCTTTTTGAATTTTATTTTACGTAATTTCAAATTCTTCGTTTGATTCAGAATGATAACTGAGGATGATCGCTTAAAGCGTTCGAAAATGTTTTTAAGATATTAAAAACGATTTGCTGGAATGTTTAAAGGGTTTTGTTTTTATTTATATTACATCAACTGTAAATTTACATAATGATTTGCAACAAGTATTATTGCAAACTTATAGTGATGTAGCTAAAAAGTAAATACTTTTTCAGAATATTATCTCTTTCTTATTTTTGAAAGAAGGAATATTTACTTTGAAAATAAAAAATATGTGATTTCAACTTTTACATTATTACAACAATATATAAAATCCATATATATTGAAAGCAAAGTGTTCTGTCCCCACCAAAACCAAAACTTTACTCCTATAGCAACTATTCTTTAAGTTTGATTTTTGAATAATAACCTTTAGTTATATACAGAATACAGATATACAGAGTTAGTTTTAGTTTTTATATTACAGTAGAGCATCGATTATCCAAATCAATTGGGAACTGGGGTTGTTCAGAAAATCGATTTTTCAGATAACCGATTATGTACAAAAAAATATATTAACCTATCCCATGTTGAAATTCAGTCAAATCCTGGCACGTCCTTAAGTACCCTCTCATGGTCATGCCCGTGCTGCCAGCTAAAACACACACACCAACAAAAATAATATTGGAGTAGCCTAAGACATAGCCAAAGATTGCAGTGCCACAGCACTAGTAGAAATTTAAATTTGTCAACTGAAAAGCTTTTGGTTAATTAATGTTTTGGTTGATCGATATTCAGATAATTGATGCTCTACTGTATTTTTAATAATTTTTATCCTTATATGTGTATATACAAAGCAAAATGTTCCGTCACTGCCACACAAAAAAAAAAAAATGATTTGAACCCTTAATTACAATTTTTAAAATTAATTGTAATAACTCTTTTTTCTTTTGCAACATAACTATAGAAATTGTTTTAGTACTGTTTTGCACAAAAGATTATTAAAATAAATTAANAAACAAAGGATGAAATAATTTGTTTAACCAGCCCAAAATGTAGCCAAGTCAAATTTTCGTAGCCCAAAAAGTAGCCAGGGCGCCAAATGCTTTTTTTAACGCCAAACTAAAAAAAAAGTAGCCCAATTTGGCGCAAAGTAGCCAAATCTGGCAACGCTGAGTCCGGCTTTTGAAAATTTTGAACGCTTTTATCTGGTTGTACTTCGAGCCGGACATTAATTTGCAATCCTTTTTTAGATCTGCATAAAAATAATTATATACAAGATATCTGAAAAGTTATTGAGTAGTGCAGTGGCGCATCTAGAGGGGAGCCAAGGGTCCTGGCACCCCAAAATAAGAGAAAAGAAACATTAATAAATTTTCCAAAATTCTTTCCTAATTAAAATTCATTTTTTATTTATATTGTGTCGTGTCTTCTATTTCTATATCATTTATGAATTAGCGGTCATTTAAGGTGGGAATTTTATTGAATTCGCATGGAATTCTTTATCCGTTCAAACTTGGTTCCCCCAAAAATTAAATCTTGAGTGGGCCACTGATGTAGAAAGAAATCTGTAATGACGTTTGTAAAATTATACGAACGGTGTTTGCAATATCCAGGGCCGGATTTGAGGCGATTGGACGACTTGCGCCAATCGGGCCCCGCAGGACATCAAAATTTATATATTTAAAAACAGTTTCAAATTACAGAATAGATTAAACAGTTTAGCGATCATGTCGATTGAAAGTCAAGAAGCAAGCCACTTGGATTTTGATACTATTTTAGAAGATTTTACAGAACAAATACTTCGGAACACATAAAACATCTCTTTATACGTTTATATTCAATAAAATTCAATTATATTCATTCATCAACACATTAGAAGATTTTTTATGGCAAAAATTTATGTAGTTATATTCATTTAAAAATATAGAAATACTAAAACATATCTATGTATGTTTATATTCAATAAAATGTAGTTATATTTATATTTGGTACAGGTTTTTTGATGTAGAAATTTTTAATGCAGTTCATGACTTTTGATTTTTATAATTAGATTTTGGATTTTGTTTCAAACAAATATTTAAAATCTATATTTCAATATGTAAATTAACTGTTAATTAATTTTGTTATTTAAGGTAAACGCACCAGTAGTGGACACTGCACGAGTAGTGGACACTTTGAACTTCAAATAGGAGTAATAAGGTTGTAGATGGCTTCACTGTTCAAACATGCAAATCATTCAGTAGACAGAACTTCNAATTGATTTTTTTTTTTTTTCTAAATTATTGTACCAATGAAGTCATAATTTAAATTATTATTAAAAAATCCATTCATGAAGGGAAAACACAACAAAAATTGATTGAACATCTAACAAAGCTAAATATAATCAAAAAGAAAAAGCAGATAAAATGAATACATAAAGAAATGAAATATACTAAGGCACATACCAAAATAAATCAACAGGAGTAATAAAAAACTAGTACTGTCTTTTGATGTTAAAAGATGAAACAAACACAATATTGAGTTTAAAAAACACATATTTACAAATACTACTAACTGAAAAGAAAATTATCTTTTCTGAAGATGATGGTTATAAATCATTTAAAGTACTTGTAAATATATTTGTTTTTAAGCTCAATATTGTAATCTTTTAATCATCAAAAAGATGGTTTTTTATTCTATTGACTACATACAGAAATTTAAGAACATTTTCATTTTTAATCAACAATCTCAAACAATAAAACAATTTGTTGTATATTAATTAGCATAAAGTATTATATATGAATAAAAACATTTTAATAACTGGCATTTTTGTATTATTCTTGTATTAATTTGTATTCCTTCATATTTATTCATATACATATTTGTAATCTTTCATATTAATAGTTACATAACTTAATATCATTATTATGTAACTTTACACTTGTATTTAACACTCATTTTAAAGAAAATTAAAGTTTTAATTTCAAAAGTTATTTACTTACAAATTTCAGCCATTCATTTAATTGTTCCACCACTTTTAGAGCATCAGGAATATTGTCCCCTTCTGAACAGTTTTGTATCAAAACTATGATAGGAATTTTTTCTCTGAAACTAATTACATTTACAGATTAGATTTAGAAATTAGACATAAAAACAGCATAGCTTTGAAAATTGTGGGTATAATTTCTTATTTTATTTCATGAATTAATAAAAACTAAATTTCACTTAAATAATAAATTTATAAGAATAAAATGAAGCAAATTATTACATTCCTTTTATTTTATAAAAAAAAAAAACAAAATGAAATAGAAAACCTTATAGCCTAAACTGTAAAAATCAATGTGAAAAGTATATATATTGTAAAAATTAATAAACTACATTACAAAAAATAATGTTTTTTTTTAAAACCCCACCCTTTTAAAAATTCTGCACAGAGACTTTAATACAATAATAAGTTGGCAAATTTATAACTAAAGAAAAATACTTTTTAATATGAATGCTGAATTAAATAAAATAAAATAATTAAATCAGTAGTCATAATTAAATTTCAAAACTTACTATGATGCCAAATGTTTTAAAAAATTATACACTCTCAAATAAGAAATTAATGAAATTTTTATAAAGTGCACTAAAAGAAGAAGTTAACTTTTTAATTTGAATATTCTCAACATCTATTATATTTTTTTACTTACACAAATAATACCTTAAAATTAATTTTAGGAAAAAATAAACTTTAAGAATGGAAAATACAGAGAATTTTTATCATTATCATAATTTTTAGATTTTATTATTTTGTGCACATTCTTCCTCTCTCCTTTACAGACTACCCTTCCCCATAAGATTAATCCTATGGATCCAGCTTTGGCTGCCTTGCTAAACTGTCCTATTTGTTACAACCTGGTATGACCTCCGGTATACCAGTGTACTGGTATACCGGATATACGAGGCAGACATTCAGAACAGCACTCTGTTCTGAATGTCGGCCTTGTATATCCAGATGTCACACCTGCAGCTTAATTGTAGAGTAGATTGTCCTGACTATTCGATCACCCTGCTCCTTCCAATCTTTTGGATTTCCCAAGACTCTCCACAAAGGGAACCAACAAACTCACAAAGAATTATGTACTTTTAAACCTCTTCTCTGTCCTTTTCACACAACAAACTGTTCCTGGGAGGAAGCTCGATCACATCATGATCATATCGCAATAAGCACATCTTCAAGTGATAACATCAAGTCAATCTTCTATCTTCTTCATACAGATAGACCCTCAGATAACTGGGGGCACCTGGGCTGCTTTATTAGAGTGCCATCTCCAAAAATTCCTCATATTAGCTTATAAACAATATTCCAACAGACCCGCCCTCATTATAACAGTTTTCTTCCCAGAAAAACCACTGCCCGATACTAAATTTACTTATAATATCAAATTTAAAAGAGGGGACAATGCACTACAAAGGACTTCTACCATTCGCAAGACCTACAGAGATCCACCCAATCCTTCCCCTAATCCTATTCCTTTTTTAGAAATACACTTTGAACTTATAGCCCTCACAACTTCAAATTTATTCTTAATATTTCCCTATTTCTAGATGACCAAAGCTAACAAGTGGTGGGACCCTGCTCCCGACCACCAATACAGTCTATCAGCAATTAAGACAATATAGACTCTCCATGGTCCACACTACTTTTCACCCAATCACAGAGGCAATCACAAACCAGCAACTATCATCTTGCCAATTGGATACACTTGCCCCCCTCAACTCAAACAAGCATATCAAGAAGTCAATTGCACCCAACTAGAACAGACCGAACCAAAGGACCAAATACTACCAAATGCCTCCCAAACACCTTTATTTTGTCCTCCATCACCCTCCCAACTAACCCAACCACCTTTCCGCGCTCATTGCAACTCTAACAATTGTCCTTAATTTTCATTTCTCTATTTGACTTACTAACATTCACAAATATAATATCTATATATCCAATATAATCTACCATGTCCATTGTACAATATTTACCTCATCCACTGAACAAAAAAAAAAAAAAAACTATTATTCCATTGTATATAGTTTTGTCAAATAAATATTTGACAAAACTATATACAATGTTTTGTCAAATAAGAGTAAATATTTGTATTTACTCTTATTCTTGCATCATTGTGGTTTTGTTTTGATCATGTAACCATAAGAGAGAGAGAGAGAGAGAGAGAGTAAAATTCTGATCTGTAAACAAAACATGCAACTCAGAAATAATCCGTGACAATCTATATGCACGTTTCTACATGACAAACTTTTGTATAATATCTTTAAGATAATATATTTTCTATATTGTCCACGAGAGAGAGAGAGAGAGAGAGTGTGTGTGTGTGTGTATGCTGAGTTGGCTAACGATTTTCATGTCATTTTGTAACTAAATTAAAATTGAACTTGCCCATTCAAAACAAGCATGATTTTGGAAAGGCCACAGTGATATGAGAATTGGGATTACAAAGTAAACAACTTAACATCATAACATCAATTTTGTCAACTATCTGTCAACTTTCACATGTGAGAGTAAATCTTCCTTTAGGTTCTGAGCATCAATAAAGACTCTTTCTGACAATCTTCTGACCTGCTTTCCTGATTTCATTGTTTTAATATAACAACTAGTTACCAACAATAGTCAGTCACTACCTAGTCCTCAGCTGGGCCACTCATTTTCCTGTGCCTCCGTTACTCAAATTTCAGATACATTGTTTTACTATATCATTGAACATATTGGCAATTTCCTCTGTGGAGACATCTTCTCTCTTGCCTGTGGCCATATTATCTACTGTTGTCCCCCAGAATAAGAACTATCATCTAGAACTTTCCTCTTTTTGACCCAACCAGCAATCATCAGATCACCATCCTCTACAAGGTTTTTATTCCCATGCCCTCTAGTGTAAGCTCTCTCTCTTGCGACCATATATAGTTGTTTCGATCTAGTATGATAAGTATCATGAATCCTTTTTCTCTTTTTACAAATAAACGTTATTTGTTTGGTTAACTGGAATCCAAGTGAGTCACTTCCAACCTACTGTCTCACAGTCTCCATCCAGAACCCAATTGCTCATGCACATGGCTGCTCACACGACCTACTTTTAAAAACAAAACAATTCACCATCATGGCTTCCGTGTCAAACGAGACATGATACTGTCAGTCCTGACAAGGCATCAAAGAGGTGTCAACCCTCTGGTCACATTTTAATACATTAATTTTTAAAATATTTATTGCTTTGATAATCAAAAGTTTTCATTTCAAAGACCACAAATTGCATTTCATAACAATCCATTTGCTTATCTCTATATTATCCATTCCTACACACACTATATTTTTGTTTTTTATTAATCTCTTCAAATTATTGAACAAACAAATTTACTTCTTTTCTTCATTAATTTCCAATTTTTATTAAATCAAGGTTCGTATCTTCTATGTTATTGTAATCCCATTTTATTATATTCAATTTCTGTATTCTCCAAAGCTCCAGAATTTTTCTCCATTTTTTCAGTTTTCCAGATTTAATTCATTGTTGGAAATATCAACTAAGATTGTGTCATTCTCTCTCTCTCTCTCTCTCTCTCTCTCTCTCTTCAAGCCATTTTTTTTATATGTAGTAAATGCCATTCCAGTCACAATCACATTTTTGTAAGAAATTCTTATTTCAATATAAATTCTTTCATAGATATAATAATCCTAAATACTGTAATGATTCATGAATTCATGAGCCAATGGATCAAGTTTGCCACTTAGAAATTGTTAGAGAGAGATAAAATAGTTGAAACAATGGACACATATTTATATAAATGATTATGCATATTTGAAATTTTGTGAAGACAAAAAATGGTCAAATTCATGACTAAACAGTGTCATTTTATGTGAATAACCATTTGTGTTTACAAGGCATTTTGAAAGAACCTGCAGGACATCAAAACACCACCTCTCAATCAACAGAAAGTATACTTATCCAACTGTAACCAGAAATGTACAAACTGACTAACAGAAGTCTATAATGTTTCTTTCTATTTAATCTCAATTAAATTTACACATTAATGTGTGTTTGCTCATCTTTCATATGTGATCAAAAACACCTGTTATATAGCCACTACAAGCCATGAGTTATGTTTTTAATGGATGTTAATTGAGTGTTTGATAAGCACTGGGCTCTGAGCCAACTAATCCAATTGAAAAGTAAGTACTCAGTTTACAATAAGCACTCCCTTCTCAATGTAACCTTTGATTTCATGAAATTAGATGACTTCGAAAATTCCTATGCATGAATATAATTTTGTACACTCACTACATCATTACATTTTGTATAAAATTACATAATATTAACATATGATAGCAATTTCCATAAAAATCCAATAAAATTCTGTTTTCCAAATTCATAAAAATTCCATGTTTTCTTGGTTTTCCACAATTGCTATGAAGCCTGTTTCTACTGAATTTGAACAAAGATTATTAAATACTATTCTCATTGGATAACATCAATTAATTTAATTATGACTCAATTATTATTTTGAACTAATCTAAAATTTTTTCAAACTTAATGAAGAAAATAAATTTACCACTTTTCATAGAAAAGTTTTGTGATGCCTGCTCCAGGCAAGTGTAATTCTCCATCAGGTTTCACTTCATGAGTTTCTGGATCTTTGCATTCTAAATATTTCCAGTTCAACTTTTGAATTAAGTAATCTTTAATAGAATTTTCATCCTCTGATAAAGAAAGAAGAAAAAATGGAGTACTGAAAATAAAATAAAATGTATTTAGACTTTTTTTTTACATTAGCATTAATATTTTATAATTTCATTTAAAAATACAAGTTAAAAAATTACATTCATCTCCAAATAATTAAAAAAAATTTAAAACTTTAATGAAAAATATTAGAACTAAAATAATTCTTACATGCAGTCCCAAATACTTTTGAATTTCTGATAATGATTCCCAGAAGCTCAAAAGTACTTCAGACTGAATGTAAGAATTATTTTATATCAATTTATAAAATCTGACACACAGTAATACTATTATAAAAAAATGAAAATTTTGTACATTATAGTTAGTAACTTCCTTATTCATGTTTCACAGTTATTTGCAATCAATTGTAATCTAAAATTATTAAAAGGAAAACTAGAAATAAACAATTTACAAGTTACAAGTCAATTTACAAAATGTAAAATTGCACGTTCTTCCAAACAACTTGATGAAATTTTGCACTGTCTTGAGCCATGTTCAGTATTACAGAATTCTTGCTAAGACTAGTTATGTTACATTGCTGAATTTATTTCAAACTCTTCTCAACTCCTCCTACTGCTAAATTCTAACTAATTCAATCAGTTTGTTTTGTCTATGCTAACTTCTACTCCAAGGTTTTTGACACCCTTCTGTAGAGTAGTATTAGTGTTGTCACTGTTTTTGTCTCATCATACAATTTGAAAGATGGCTGCTTGTGCTGACCAAATATATTTTTTTTTATAAAGGTCATAAAATTATTGTAATTATGATAATTTTGTTCATTATTAATTTAAAATTTTAAGTATATATTTATTCTGTGTCTAGAAAATTGGAAAATCCAGAAATCTGGACAACTTTTGGTTCCAAGTTTGCTGGATATTTGGCCCAGTACTGTAATAATAACTTACCTGTAAAAAGATATTAAATTAAACAGAAAAATAACTTGAAAAAACTTCATTAAAACAATCTAATCATAAAAAGCATATATATCAAATCATCATCTAACTCAGTTTCTCAATTAGTTGATGTGGCAGACCAATTACTTTCCGAGATTTTTGTCATATTACTGTATTAATGCATTAAGTGCAAGATTGCACCTTAATAGTATTTTTTTAATTTTCTGAAACTGTGTTTTATAATTTTCTATGATTCTCAAACACAAAATAGTGCTACTATTTAAACACTTGGCGTGGCACAAATGCCAAGTGTTTAAATAGTAGCACAGATTTTGTGTTTGAGAATCATAGTATTTTTTAATTTAGTTATGTATATATTACAAAAGTATGACATCATTATCGTTATTATAAAATCTGTTTCCAAGAACATATTATTATTTAATACAATGTTTTCTTTCCTGGGAACTCTGCAAACCAGTAACCAACGACTCACAAATTGATACGGGTCCAAATCACCATTTTGAGTAGCATTGATCTAAATCATTTAAAATTTTTTGTTAATATAATTAATGTTTACCTCATATCTGATGGTGATTCAAACTGAGATAATTTACTTGATAATAAAACAACCTTCTTAAAATTACATTCTTTAATCCAATTTGCCATAAGTTTGACATACAATGATCTCTGATTCTAAAATAAAATAAATTTTATTATTATAATGGAAAATTAAACAAAGTTCTATATCAGTATTAAAATGTATTTACAATTTTCTTTCTCTTAACCTAACTAAAAGCAAATATATTTCTTAACAGAAACATTAGTGTATTATAATTATAATTATATTTCTATAAAGTTAAAATTTAGCTAAATTCTTTTCAAGTTCTTTTATTCTTCATTAAGAATAAAGTGTGTTTTATTAATACATTTGATAGAAATAATTATGTTAAAATTCTACAACATAACTTATAACACAGCATAATTCATTTTTTTAATAATTTTCTATCAAAATAACAAGCTACATATAATCATAACTATAATTTTAATTAAAACATAATAATTCTATAGAAAAATTAATCTTTTAAAATTATTTCTATTTAAAAAAATATAAATATAAAGCTAAATATAAATGTACAGTATACATATAACTACACTATAAATCAATTTCAAGAAGGAAATTTGTGAAATAATTTTTATATATATCTACTATTACATCAACAATAAATAAAATACTTTCTTACTGGAACTAAAATCAATATAAATAAAAACAAAATCTTTAAACATTCCAGCAAATCATTTTTAATATCTTAAAAACGTTTTCGAACGCTTTAAGAGATCATCCTCAGTTATCATTCTGAATCAAATGAAGAATTTGAAATTATGTAAAATAAAATTCAAAAAGCGGTTACACAAATTTACATTGACATGTAACAAGCTTAAATAATCGCAAAGACTATACAAATTAATTAAAATGAAATAAAGAAATAAAAAAATATGTACAACCAGTAAAAATTATCATAATTAACTTTGCCGCTTATATAAACTATATCAACTCATTGTAGAAGGATTTCCACGTCGATGATAATCCATTGGCATCCCTATGATTGATACAGTTTGTGTGCAACTGCGCCTTGTGAATTTCTAATTTTTCTAGATGTTTCACGGCTTGCTTGGATCTTGGATCAGGCATCAATCATCAAGGTTACAAGATTCAAGCAAGCCATAAAACATCTAGAAAAATTAGAAATTCACAAGGCACAGTTGCACACAAACTGTATCAATCATAGGGATGCCAATGGATTATCATCGACGTGGAAATCCTTCTACAATGAGTTGATGTAGTTTATATAAGCGGCAAAGTTAATTATGATAATTTTTACTGGTTGTACATATTTTTTTATTTCTTTATTTCATTTTAATTAATTTGTATAGTCTTTGCGATTATTTAAGCTTGTTACATGTCAATGTAAATTTGTGTAACCGCTTTTTGAATTTTATTTTACGTAATTTCAAATTCTTCGTTTGATTCAGAATGATAACTGAGGATGATCGCTTAAAGCGTTCGAAAATGTTTTTAAGATATTAAAAACGATTTGCTGGAATGTTTAAAGGGTTTTGTTTTTATTTATATTACATCAACTGTAAATTTACATAATGATTTGCAACAAGTATTATTGCAAACTTATAGTGATGTAGCTAAAAAGTAAATACTTTTTCAGAATATTATCTCTTTCTTATTTTTGAAAGAAGGAATATTTACTTTGAAAATAAAAAATATGTGATTTCAACTTTTACATTATTACAACAATATATAAAATCCATATATATTGAAAGCAAAGTGTTCTGTCCCCACCAAAACCAAAACTTTACTCCTATAGCAACTATTCTTTAAGTTTGATTTTTGAATAATAACCTTTAGTTATATACAGAATACAGATATACAGAGTTAGTTTTAGTTTTTATATTACAGTAGAGCATCGATTATCCAAATCAATTGGGAACTGGGGTTGTTCAGAAAATCGATTTTTCAGATAACCGATTATGTACAAAAAAATATATTAACCTATCCCATGTTGAAATTCAGTCAAATCCTGGCACGTCCTTAAGTACCCTCTCATGGTCATGCCCGTGCTGCCAGCTAAAACACACACACCAACAAAAATAATATTGGAGTAGCCTAAGACATAGCCAAAGATTGCAGTGCCACAGCACTAGTAGAAATTTAAATTTGTCAACTGAAAAGCTTTTGGTTAATTAATGTTTTGGTTGATCGATATTCAGATAATTGATGCTCTACTGTATTTTTAATAATTTTTATCCTTATATGTGTATATACAAAGCAAAATGTTCCGTCACTGCCACACAAAAACAAAAAAATGATTTGAACCCTTAATTACAATTTTTAAAATTAATTGTAATAACTCTTTTTTCTTTTGCAACATAACTATAGAAATTGTTTTAGTACTGTTTTGCACAAAAGATTATTAAAATAAATTAAAATATGATATTTTTTTAGTAATTACATTAATTTTTGTTTTATAAATTTGCCTGTTTTTAAAAATTTTTATTTTAAGTGAGTAAACATTAAATGAACTATTTAGTATAAATTTTAAAAACAAAGAAAAAATTTTAAAATGAAAGAGACAAATATAATAATGGTTTGTGTCAATTAAATTAAATTTTATTTAAAAAAAAAAAATAAACTGTTTTCAGTATTAACAACCAAAATTGACTCAAAAATCACACTTTAATCACAAGTACTTTCAATAGTTGTCACATAATCATCATCAGGTGGATCAATAGTAAAATTTCCATCAAGCAAACAAAGTATAAAATTGCTTTACACTTTTACTACCATTAGTTTGAAATTTATACTCTCATAAGTTTGCTTTTTTTAAATCTAAGTTTTTTTAATTGTTGTTTTTAAGCATTTTATTTGAGTTACATTTATTTATTTATTTATGGTTTGCCTTAATTTTAACATTAATCTCATACTACGTAAAAATCAAAAGTTTATTGCTTTTAAATTTGAAATGTTATTTTATTTCTGTCCTGTTCACCTGATGACAATAATGTGGCAACTTATGCTCAAAAGTACTTTAGATTAAAGTGTGACTTTTCAGTGAATTTTGATTGTTAACACTGAAGACTGTTTATTTTCCTCATAATGACAACATATTTGTATGATCTGTAGTATGTTTAAATTTTATTTTATTTATTTTGTTTTACATTATATGCATTTATATTTCTCTATTTAATTCTGTAAGAATACATTCAAGTGTTTTACATTAAATTAATAGACATAAATATTGAATATTTGAAAATTTAAAATTGTTTTGAATTAAGTCTGAATGACACAGATGACATCATGAACACTTATTAATGTTCCAAAGTTTTAATTTAATGTTATATTCAAATTTTGACAGATCTGAGGCTGGAATTTAGGACTGAAAATGTTTATCAGAAATAAATCATATCCTATCTTCTAAAATAGAGTTAAATTCTTTATTTAGTCAGTTTATTTTTATGATCTTCATATTTAACACTTTTTTCTTTTTTTTGTTATTTTTCAATTTTATTTATTTATATTTTAAATTTTAATTTATAATTAAGTAAAATAACTTTATTTTAGATTGCAGTATTCACAAATAAATCAAGAAATATTTACTTAAAACAATAAAGTTAACAAGTTTAACATATAAGTTATTTTTGAGTATATAGTAATAGAGCATGTAGTTACAGTGAGAATTTACAGTTTTTAGTTTGTTAAAAAATAAAAAGACATACATTTCTGAGACCAAGAAACTAAAAGTTCATAAAATTTCAATTACAGTTGACCCCTATAACACTGTTGATAATTCTGTTTTATATGAATTCCATGTTGTACAAGTCACTTAGATTTTACAAATACGTGAGCCGTTCACAGCCTGGCACACGTATTTGTAAAATCTAAGTGACTTGTACAACATGGAATTCATATAAAACAGAATTATCAACAGTGTTATAGGGGTCAACTGTAATTGAAATTTTATGAACTTTTAGTTTCTTGGTCTCAGAAATGTATGTCTTTTTATTTTTTAACAAACTAAAAACTGTAAATTCTCACTGTAACTACATGCTCTATTACTATATACTCAAAAATAACTTATATGTTAAACTTGTTAACTTTATTGTTTTAAGTAAATATTTCTTGATTTATTTGTGAATACTGCAATCTAAAATAAAGTTATTTTACTTAATTATAAATTAAAATTTAAAATATAAATAAATAAAATTGAAAAATAACAAAAAAAAGAAAAAAGTGTTAAATATGAAGATCATAAAAATAAACTGACTAAATAAAGAATTTAACTCTATTTTAGAAGATAGGATATGATTTATTTCTGATAAACATTTTCAGTCCTAAATTCCAGCCTCAGATCTGTCAAAATTTGAATATAACATTAAATTAAAACTTTGGAACATTANTCTCACGTCACTAGTCGATTTTTTAAAGAAAACTTAATACCATTTTTTGTTATCTAATACTCTTTTTAGTACCCTTTTAGAAAGGCTTGGAACAACCCTGCTCTCGAGCTAAATGCCACAGTCAACATGTATAAAGCATTAGATTCAATAGGTGCAGTATTTAAAATTTAAAACATTAACATCGGTTTGTAAGTATTCTATTTATTCAGGCTTAAAAACTAATGGAATAAATGCAACACAATAAATATACAGATTATATTTTTATAACCTACATAATTGTTGTTATAATTTATAATATGCCTTAATCATACATAGAACTATTAATACTTTTAAGTAATTCTTCAGGTAATTTGCATTCACTCACACGTATGTCTCTGGAAAGTAAATACAATCGAATGTGAAGGAGTGCACGTAAAAGTTGCAACCCCATTCTGTTCCTTGTGTCACTTTTTAAATAATTAACAGCAGAAAAAGCTCTTTCTACTGAAGCATTTGATATCGGTAGTGTAAGTATATTCAACGCTGCTTCAGCAAGTCGTGTTGCAGGATTATTACCTGCAGTATCCTTATATTCAATAACTGTTTTCCAAAAATGTTCTCCCGTTGTGTCTGGAGTAATTCCTGGAATGTTTTGGACACAGCGTATCATCTTCTCTAATTCCACGCTGTTAAAATCGCATATGGATTTCGGTATTTTGGAAATGTTTTTTATGATTGATTCAATTTCGTAAATCTGTAAAAGTTTTGCAGGTCGCACACTTTCCACTAGATTTGACCACTGTATTGAATTTGGTAGCCGAATTTGTAATTGATGAATTGTTGTTTTTAAAAAATTAAAGCATCTTTCCTTAATCTCAAATTTTGAATGAACTGAAAATGATGAAGTTTCGAGAAAACTGTGAAAATTTGTACCCAAGTCACAGTCAGGTATGAGCAAGTACACTGATTTTAAATTCATCAAATCCATGCACAAGAACTGTTCTAGAGAATGGTTATTTATGACTGAAGGTTTTATAATTCTTTTTGCAAATGATATAAACAGTGACTGTAATTCATTAATAGCTGCGAAAGTATCTATATTTTCACTTTGAAAAAGTAAGTTGACTCTCCGGAGTTCCGAAAGAATGGGATCCAGAAAAAGCAAATATGCTTTATTTCTAGCATCTCCGTACATTTCACTAAGAAGACGTATCTTGTAGTCCTTTGCAGGATAAACTGAAAAATATAACTTCAGGTCTTCATACTGATTAAGAATTCTTTCTACACAAAGAGAAATAGATAGCCATCGTGTCTTGCTTGGGGTTGTTAACTTTAATGGGTCAGCTGAAACTTCATCAGTAGTATCATTCATCACATGAAATAGATGTTTGTAGATATTCTTACGCAGTGTACTGTGAGAAAAATGTTCAGTTGTTTCCTGTAGCATGAAGCTGATATTACTTGGCAGCTCATCCTTCGCTGCAGATGCCACCAAATCCAAAGAGTGGCAGATGCATTTAACATGTATCAGATCATACCCACAAAAGTCTCTCAAATGTGTATAAAGAGAGTTGTTTCTTCCACACATAGAAGCAGCACCATCAGTTGCAATTCCAATCAATTTATTTTTGTCTAGACCCAGCTCTTGCATTTTATACACAACTGCATCGTGCATAGTTGTAGCACATCCATCTTGAATTTCAACCACGTCAAGGAAGCAAGTGATCATTTTTCCCGATTCTCTGCTGTAATGTTTGGAGCAGAGAGCAAGGAGCTTTGAATCGGATACGTCAGTTGACTCATCTATCATAAGAGAGAATTTTGTTGCTGTTTTCAAATCTTCTAGATGTTTCTGCTGTAGATAAGGTCCCAAAACATTTTTTATTAGAGCAGAACATTTCGTACGATGCATATGAAATGTTTCTTTGCCATTGCTTACATCTTTAAACTCATCATTCAGAATTTCTCCAAGAGTATCAACAGAGTTTATAGATGTGCTCATTGCAGCAAACAGAGCAATTCGAGCCTCTCTGCGAATTTTTGCTAATGGCAATACTCTAGGCACTTCAAGTACATTCAGAGGCTGAAACTTACCACACTGAACTTCATTAGACTTATGTTTCTTTGTAGCAACATGTTTCATTAAATCAGAATAATGTGCACGTACACTACACTTGCAATATTTACAGAAAACATGGTCCTCTGCTGTTGGATCTTCTGAAATCCAATCTGAAAAACAAATTTAATTTAATTGATAACAACGTGACCAATTTTTAAAAATAAATCATCTTTGAATGAAGCTAGTGAAATACAGTGGGACCTCCTTATGAGCCGTTCACAGGCGAAATCGATTAAGTTCACTTTTTGAATCTTTTAAATTTTAGTGCTAAAGTACTTGAATGATGCTTAACATTTTATATTTGAAATAAACTTTTTTAATAATTAGGCTTAACATTACTAAATATTTATTTAAATTTAAATTCTAGAAAAGAAAGAAGGCCTATATTATTTTATCAATTTCTATACTTTTTGTTTTTTGGAGTTAATCAATTAGACAAATAAATAACCCATACTTTAATCACAACATAAAACGACTACAGCCAAAATTTTACATGTATAGGACAAAAATTGCAGAAGTTATAAGAAATTCACATACAGACAATGGTTTTTATATTAGCCCCTTTGGGTACTCTTCCAGCAACAAAAACGGCACTTGGAAAACCCCTAAGAATTTTATTTATCATATTAAATAATTATTTCCACTCAAATGCGAAACTGACATCAAAAAAATTTTCGAGAAATAATTTCCTTAATACTCCCCAAAAAGTGTTTTTACAGAAAAACTACATAAAAAATTAAAAATAATTTAAAATGAATGCTTTTATTTGTTAAATATAGCTGCACCGATTGTTATTTTTTCATTTTATAAGGCGTGAAATTTCACACGTGCAGTCTGCATTGTAGTAGTTTACGGTGGAAAGCAACATGGCGTCCTCTGTAGCTCAAATAGTTTCGTTTAGTAATTATTATAATAATGTAATAAGCTTCTGTACATTGAAGTTTCTATATATCGAATTATTTTAAAATAAACCATCAACTGCGATATATGGAAGATCTATTAAAAGTGAAAAAAAAAAAAAAAAACGTACCTTTAAGGTTTTTATCTTGAAGCCATTCTTTACGAAAGGACCGAGAATACTTTGTCCATTTGCCCATTTTAATACCAATAATAGTATAATTTATATAAGTTTTATAATTTATTTATGTTTAAAAACGAAACGAGTAGACAGCTCACAGGTATTACCACTCTAGGTGCAAAACAAAGGATGAAATAATTTGTTTAACCAGCCCAAAATGTAGCCAAGTCAAATTTTCGTAGCCCAAAAAGTAGCCAGGGCGCCAAATGCTTTTTTTAACGCCAAACTAAAAAAAAAGTAGCCCAATTTGGCGCAAAGTAGCCAAATCTGGCAACGCTGAGTCCGGCTTTTGAAAATTTTGAACGCTTTTATCTGGTTGTACTTCGAGCCGGACATTAATTTGCAATCCTTTTTTAGATCTGCATAAAAATAATTATATACAATATATCTGAAAAGTTATTGAGTAGTGCAGTGGCGCATCTAGAGGGGAGCCAAGGGTCCTGGCACCCCAAAATAAGAGAAAAGAAACATTAATAAATTTTCCAAAATTCTTTCCTAATTAAAATTCATTTTTTATTTATATTGTGTCGTGTCTTCTATTTCTATATCATTTATGAATTAGCGGTCATTTAAGGTGGGAATTTTATTGAATTCGCATGGAATTCTTTATCCGTTCAAACTTGGTTCCCCCAAAAATTAAATCTTGAGTGGGCCACTGATGTAGAAAGAAATCTGTAATGACGTTTGTAAAATTATACGAACGGTGTTTGCAATATCCAGGGCCGGATTTGAGGCGATTGGACGACTTGCGCCAATCGGGCCCCGCAGGACATCAAAATTTATATATTTAAAAACAGTTTCAAATTACAGAATAGATTAAACAGTTTAGCGATCATGTCGATTGAAAGTCAAGAAGCAAGCCACTTGGATTTTGATACTATTTTAGAAGATTTTACAGAACAAATACTTCGGAACACATAAAACATCTCTTTATACGTTTATATTCAATAAAATTCAATTATATTCATTCATCAACACATTAGAAGATTTTTTATGGCAAAAATTTATGTAGTTATATTCATTTAAAAATATAGAAATACTAAAACATATCTATGTATGTTTATATTCAATAAAATGTAGTTATATTTATATTTGGTACAGGTTTTTTGATGTAGAAATTTTTAATGCAGTTCATGACTTTTGATTTTTATAATTAGATTTTGGATTTTGTTTCAAACAAATATTTAAAATCTATATTTCAATATGTAAATTAACTGTTAATTAATTTTGTTATTTAAGGTAAACGCACCAGTAGTGGACACTGCACGAGTAGTGGACACTTTGAACTTCAAATAGGAGTAATAAGGTTGTAGATGGCTTCACTGTTGTCATTCAGTAGACAGAACTTCTGTCTACTGAATGATTTGCATGTTTGAACAGTGAAGCCATCTACAACCTTATTACTCCTATTTGAAGTTCAAAGTGTCCACTACTCGTGCAGTGTCCACTACTGGTGCGTTTACCTTAAAGTTTGAGGGGCCCCGCAAAAAAAAAAAAAAAATTCAATTGGGCCTCGCACTTATTGCATCCGGCCCTGGCAATAGCGTAAGTATAACTTTAATGTCATTACAAATTTCCTACTGCACAGTAAATTTTCGTACACAAATCACAATTGAACTTTGAATTTTTTCAAGAGATCGAATATCTTGATCTGTAAGATCTATAAGAAATATATTGGAGAATAGTGGTTTAGGGAATGATATGACGAAAAAATCATTTTGACTTACGGCCGGATGGCCGAGCGGTTAAGGTATCAGCCTACCGCTCTGGGGACCCGAAATCGAATCCAGGCGGGTCGAAAAATCCCCAGGAATTTTTCGGGGGTGGTCCGTCCGGATATGTCGAGTCCCGTTCCTCACCACCTGGCCACCCCATTGTAGGTCTGGCCGAATCAATAATGGGGTTGCTAAAAGAGGCCCTCTTAGCGCCCACAGGACGGAAAGAGTTTTAAAAAAATAGCCATCTTGATATACTGTACAGTATATTCATATGTGAATTGTAAATACTAGAAATAGGCTGGGCAAACCTTCGGGAGTTGATAGAACATAAAAAAAATAGTTGGAAAATTGTCTTAAAATGTTATAAAATTCAATGAAATCGTAATACGTACAATACACTATTTATTTAACGGACATTATCGTTTCCGCGTCAGGCCTATGTTATCAGAAGTTATTCTAGAACGTATGGAATCAATAAAGCTGACTAAAATGAAGAATTCTGGAATTTTTAAAACTCTTTTCGTCTTTCGAGAACTAAAGAGGATCTCTTAGTGTTTTTTTAGTCCATTATGGTGCAGCCGGGTGATGAGGGATGGGGCCCGACCACCCATGACAAGTTCTGGCTTGGATTCGATTCTGGAGAGGCTGACACCTTAATTGAGCCGGCTTTCAGACCGCCAAATGTTTGATCTAAAGCTTTTTATTAGGCACGTAACATTGTTAATGATGCTATGTCTTCACAAACAGCATTCAACAATCTTTTATTTAACAGAGTTTAAGGCTAGATAAAACATCATTTATTAGCGTGTGTTCAAAGTGTAAGACAGCTTTTAGTGTTATTCAGATAAAACATTTTCCCATTTTACTAAACTTCATAACACGGTACATTTTGTCAGCTATCAGAACTTTTCCATATCAACTTGGTTAGCTTTCTTTTAATTTTCTATTGATTCCAATATTTGTATAATTTTACCCCAAATACCAATGTTGAATTCTTTTCATCTTTCTGTTTGAGCCATCAAACATGTTCATCCATTCATAGCTGTTTTCTTGGTTACTGTCTCATTAGGACTTTCTTCACTCCAATTATTAGAAATGCATTTTTAATTCTAACGCTCATTTGTGCTACTGGACATGTATGGCAACTTGTTGTTTTAGCCCTTTTTACTGTTCTATTTCATATTCTGAATCTCTTAAACAGATTGTCCTAATTGCCTTACTTTCTCTAGCAATAGGATTTATATAATATTTGAACTATTTTGTAATGTCCAATTTAACTGACAAAAGCTGTATACAAGTAAAAGTACTTTTATTCAATATTTTCTTGTTACAGTACTGTATTATAATCTTTTAATATATTATTATTCTTATAAAACTTTATATTCTTACTTATGATGCCAATTATGCAAAAGAAATTGTCATTCAATGTTATTTATAGTATATTTGTCATGAAAACATAAAGGTTTATAATCATGGAAACTGCACAATAATTTTTCACTCCTCAAATCAAGAATCAAATGATTCAATCAACATAACCAGTTATTCTAATTCTTCAAACAAATAAATTTAATGCCAAAAGACAGTACAATTTCTCATGCACAGACACAGTCCTTTCTCATAGAGTTAGGAATTTTGAGATTTACTTGTACTGTATTCATCTTACTTTGAATTTGCCTCCCATATCACCAATTTTCCAATTTTATAGGAAAATGAAAATATTTTCTTGAAATGCAGGTACTTGGGTCCAGCCATCAGTATCTGTTATATCATACTAACATATTGTTTCAAAAGTAAATGTTGTTCACAGCATACCATCATTCAAAACAATTTCAATTGACAACATGCCAGATATAAATCCAAGGAGAAATGTGAGGTAATCCAATATGACACACAATTAAAATTTCGATTTTTTTGTGTAAAAACAACTTGTTTTGCAATTATAATCACAGTTTTTTGATCATGAGAAAAATACATATTATATTAAATTAATCAGTTTTACTTTCCAACTAAAAGAAGTTTACATAGACAATTTAAGTTACACTATATACAAAACAACAAATCATCACGAAGTCCAAGGTAATGTCATTGGCTGAGGATTTTGAAGGTAAGACATTACTACAGCAGATATTGATAACCTGTAAAAAAAAAATTATTTTATTAAAAAAGGAATTTTTAATAATATATTAATGTATTTGAAGTACAGTGGAACCTTGTTTAACAAGTGATGAAAAGAGGGGAAGTCCTGGATTGTGCACACGCTCCATCAATCTGGGTTTAGCACTCGTTCTGCCAGCATCTTAGTATTGCTTGTGATCACACATTTTTTCCAAACTTGTGTTCACACATATTACGTATAAACATCAACAACCATAGCCAGTTATATAATAAACATGCCAAATTCTTGGAATATGTAAAGGCTATAATTAAATATTAGAGGTTGCAACCAAAGTTTTAATCTCTAAAATGTGAATATCAAACGGTGAGCACCGCCCTCTTTTAAGCCTAGAAGTTTGACAATAGTGTTGGAACGTCATGCACGATTNTAAAATGAAAGAGACAAATATAATAATGGTTTGTGTCAATTAAATTAAATTTTATTTAAAAAAAAAAAATAAACTGTTTTCAGTATTAACAACCAAAATTGACTCAAAAATCACACTTTAATCACAAGTACTTTCAATAGTTGTCACATAATCATCATCAGGTGGATCAATAGTAAAATTTCCATCAAGCAAACAAAGTATAAAATTGCTTTACACTTTTACTACCATTAGTTTGAAATTTATACTCTCATAAGTTTGCTTTTTTTAAATCTAAGTTTTTTTAATTGTTGTTTTTAAGCATTTTATTTGAGTTACATTTATTTATTTATTTATGGTTTGCCTTAATTTTAACATTAATCTCATACTACGTAAAAATCAAAAGTTTATTGCTTTTAAATTTGAAATGTTATTTTATTTCTGTCCTGTTCACCTGATGACAATAATGTGGCAACTTATGCTCAAAAGTACTTTAGATTAAAGTGTGACTTTTCAGTGAATTTTGATTGTTAACACTGAAGACTGTTTATTTTCCTCATAATGACAACATATTTGTATGATCTGTAGTATGTTTAAATTTTATTTTATTTATTTTGTTTTACATTATATGCATTTATATTTCTCTATTTAATTCTGTAAGAATACATTCAAGTGTTTTACATTAAATTAATAGACATAAATATTGAATATTTGAAAATTTAAAATTGTTTTGAATTAAGTCTGAATGACACAGATGACATCATGAACACTTATTAATGTTCCAAAGTTTTAATTTAATGTTATATTCAAATTTTGACAGATCTGAGGCTGGAATTTAGGACTGAAAATGTTTATCAGAAATAAATCATATCCTATCTTCTAAAATAGAGTTAAATTCTTTATTTAGTCAGTTTATTTTTATGATCTTCATATTTAACACTTTTTTCTTTTTTTTGTTATTTTTCAATTTTATTTATTTATATTTTAAATTTTAATTTATAATTAAGTAAAATAACTTTATTTTAGATTGCAGTATTCACAAATAAATCAAGAAATATTTACTTAAAACAATAAAGTTAACAAGTTTAACATATAAGTTATTTTTGAGTATATAGTAATAGAGCATGTAGTTACAGTGAGAATTTACAGTTTTTAGTTTGTTAAAAAATAAAAAGACATACATTTCTGAGACCAAGAAACTAAAAGTTCATAAAATTTCAATTACAGTTGACCCCTATAACACTGTTGATAATTCTGTTTTATATGAATTCCATGTTGTACAAGTCACTTAGATTTTACAAATACGTGAGCCGTTCACAGCCTGGCACACGTATTTGTAAAATCTAAGTGACTTGTACAACATGGAATTCATATAAAATGGAATTATCAACAGTGTTATAGGGGGTCGACTGTATTGAGAAATCATCACGTAATATTTCATTATATAAAAAGTATTTTCAGGTCTTTGGAAAAAATATTAAAGGAACATAGGAAGGATAGTGCTTTCAATAAATTCTCATTTTACAGTAAAATAAATTTCACATAGACTATATTGTTAATTGGAAAGAGGAATAATTAATATTTCATGTATAACTTGCTCTTCTATTCACAGTATCAGATGTTAGAATCAAAAAGAGAATCTCTCTGTATTTTGTTTTAATTACATGTTTAAAATGTAAAATGAACATGTGTTTTAAAATGTTAAGTTTACAAAAATCACAATTGAAAGAAAATGTTATCAAATAAAAGTTCTAAAAGTTTTAAACATCTGAAGTTACTTGTTGAAAATAGATAATATTTTACCAACAAAAAATATAATATAAGTCAAAGAAATCTAGAAGAAAAAGGTAAGAATTAACTACAGAAAAGTAGAATTGCTATTTAAAGCTTTATTATTTTAAACATAATGCTGTATCAATTAAATTTGATATGTTAATGCAAGAGAGTTATAGAAAGTATCAGATAATGATAAAATAAAAACTATTTAAACTAAAAGTATGCTTGTTGTTATATTATATATAATAGTAAGCATACTTTTAGTTAAAATGAACAAAAGCAATACTTAATGAATTGGAAATATATTCCAATTCATTAAGTATTGCTTTTGTCCATTTTGTTATATTGATTATTATATTGAGTTCAAATTAATAAAATAATTTGTTTTATAAAATAAATTAAAATTTAATGCTGACTAAGAAATGCAATTTCAAAAATAAAAAAGAATTTGATGATAAATAATTTATTTATTAGATTCAACATTATAAACTAACTCATTATAAACTTACCATTGCAACTGGAGTCCTTTGCTGAATTACCACAAGGTTTAATTGTGTGTTTTCATATACTGAAACAACAATAAAAAAAAACTATTAGTTTTAAATTTTTCTAATAAATCAGTATTTGGCACAATCAAATAATAAGATTAAAAATGGGATTACTATTCAATAACAAAACAACATAAACAATGAGTTATATTTAAAATTAATCTCAAATTTTAATGCTTAACTGTTAATAGCACTAATTAAATTTTTTTGGTGGAATATAAAACACTGAATGTATGTTTTGTAAAAGTATATTGTACTATTAAAAGCTTTACTTTGAGACTGGAAAAAGTTTAAAAGATTCATTCTAATATTTTATTATGGATAATTTTATAATCATCTAATCCAATTATGCAGTTAAAGATTCTGGTATCTAATGATGATGATATATTTATTTAATTAACAAATTCTTATTCACATTTCAAAAAATTTCAAAAAATTCAATTCATATATTTCTTTACTTGCAAATATTGAATTATATATCTTGGAGAATCTAAAAAAAAAAAATTGGAATTAGTAAAAATTATTGTTTGTTTATTACCTTGACAACTGGTTACTAAATCTGAAGAATTCTCTAAAAATGGATCCAATCCCACTAGAGGCAATATTGTGGAAGAATGAATACGTCCTACACATGTGAAATGTAAATTTTCAAGCAACAAATCAACTGCTAATTGACCAACATTTCCAACTGAAATTACTGGCTGAAATAAAGAAATATCCATTATTTAATATTCATATCTTTCAGAGTTTAAAAACTAAATTTTTAAAAATTTACTAGAATCAAATTTTTTAAATTTAATTCTTTGTAAACATTTTCATTCACATTGCATATACTTCTTTAGAAGTCATAAAAAAAAAAAAATTATACAATTGAAAAATTTTTCAAGATACTGGGTCTTATTTTCACTGATTCTGAAATGTCTCTCCAGTTGGATTTTAAATATGGTATAACAAAGATAAAAGTCTACTATCCAAAAATAAAACAAGCTTAGGTTTTGAAGGATGCTTTTCATGGAAACCTCTATAAATGAGAACACTGAAATAGCATTTAGAACAATTAAATTTTATTGATCTATTTGTTATTCATCTTACAAAATTGGAAAAAAATCAAATCTTTCTCAATCAAAGTTTAAGCTCAAACATTCACAAACCTGTCCACACAGGTGCATGCAATTACTGTATTCAGAAAAATCATTTAAAATCAACCTAATTTAAAATTTGTACTTAATTTTGAAATATGGTACTGTACATTTTTAAATTCATGAACACTGCTTTCATAAATCAATATACAGCTTGTGTAACTGGATGCAGTAAATATACACAAAGATAAAAAAACCAAAACTCTATCAGCAAAAGAATAATTTAATACAGTACACCCTTTGTTAACCAGAATAAATGCAACCGGCATAAAATAGAAGAACCATGCCAGTATTTACGACGACAGTAAAACCCTTACAGTGTTAATATTATTTCTATAATTCAATGAAATAAAAATAATGCTTTTTTAGAAATAATAAAACAAAAAGGATACAATTATACCTCTGAATGAGACAGGTGGGACCTTACCAGACTTTTAGACTATATCCATAAGAGCAAAAACATCAAAGGAACCATTACTGTACATGTGATCCTTCACGAGATACAGACTCTAAAATCAGCCTACTTCCATGTTGCACACAATCATGAGTCACGTATCTCTGCTAAGACTATTACATTTAACTATTTAGCCCATGCAACTATACCAGCTTTGTATAGTTCATGGAGTACTTGATGTTATACAGTTTTAGGGCTGTAGAGCTTGTCTTCACGTGGGCACTGCAAGTGCAAGCGACAGCATATGACTACTTGTGAAGCATCAGTCAAGATGAGTGATAGTGTCTTGGCCGATGCCAAGCAAAGAGAATAAAATAGGCAGTAGTACCGGCACATAAAAAAACTAATTTTTGGAGGTGAATATCTCACCAGGGGACTCAATTCAAGCTCTGAATGAGATGTTTGGGACCTTATCAGAGCTGTAGATAGTGGCATGCAGTGACATTTGATGATAGGAAAGCTGTGCTGGCCCTGGATAATCATTGGAAGTGTTTTACGATATTTTGGTGTGTAGCATCCACAAGCTAAACCACAAGAGGTTGGTGCTCTGTAAAGCACATGTATGAATGTGTATAATCTGGCTGCTTTACACCAGTGATCTCCAAACATATTTGATCGTGCACCCTAAGACAAAAATAATTATAAGTTGTACCCCATATAGTATAATAAAATTTGCTAAGTTTCCTGTTACCTGCAATTTGAATTTTTTCCATGAATGATTGCAAGTGATCGTGAGCCTACTTCTCATGAAGGATGACTGTAAGATCAGACAGCACACATATACAGTATTTTGAAGGGAAACTTGGCATACCCCAAGTATTACTTTGCATACTCCACTTTGGAGACCACTGCTTTACACGATTCAAATATTTTTGCCGTGGAAGCTGACCCATATTCAACAATACAGTGCTTCCACTGGGAATATGCATATACGGATTTATATTCGAATATTCAATAGCAATCTTATCATTTTTTTTCACATGTAGTATAGAAATTTGTAATAAGATACATAATGTAGTTATAATAAAATATTAATTTTAATTAATTCAAAGTACATTAAAATATGAAAATAATCACACAATATGTATTTATATTTTAGAAAATACAAGGGAAGCAGCGCTTCCTACATTCTGGACA